CTGCCGAGATGGGGTCGGGCGCGGGCTCGCCCTCGGGGACCCTCCGCTTCCAGTGGGTGCTACTGTTCGGCCTGGTGGGCCCAGCCCTCGGTGGGGCGCGACCAGGTGGGTGTCCACCCCCGGGGTCCTTCGGTTTGCTGTTTCACGGGGCTCGGACGTTCGGAGGGAACCCGCGGTGCCCAGGCCTGGGCACTGGACCGAGCGGGAGGCGGAGCCGCGCCGGCGTGCGTGGACCGTGCTCAAATCCCGGGCTCGGCTCCTGGTGGCCCCGGCTCCTGGCCCACTGCGTTTCCCCGGTGTCCTGCGGGACAGCCCCCCCCCGACTCGCACCGCCGCGGGTCGCCGCCAAAAGCCCCAGGCGGGGTGCGCCCGGTGGCGTGTGCGTGGGTTACACGCCGGGAGAAAACGGGCTTGCTCCGCTCGCAGAGCTCGTGTCACCTGCAGAGAGACTGACAGATGGAACTTTCGCTCCGGGTGGTCATCCTTTGCGATTTGGACGGTCCTCGTAGCGGAGCAGGTCCTCCCAGCTCAGTTCAGTGATGGAATTGTGGGGGGGCGTGCTCGTTGCGCTTGGGCCGTTTTCCTTGTGGTAGTAAGAACACTGTTTTGGAAACAAAGTGCTACATTTCTACGGTCATTATTTTATCCATGCCTTTACTGGGTTCGTATTGTCTTAAATCCGGACAGATAATCCTTGCTGTTTCACTCACAGGATTATTGTTAAGAATTTAAATCATTTATGTGAAATGGTTTTTGAATTGAGAAACATCTCTTTAATATGTAAGTTCCTTATATTTGGAGACGCCTAAAACGTGCTGGAAACAAGTTGCGAACAATCCAGGTTCTTTGTGGAAACAGCTGCTTTATTTTGGTTTTTGTCATCAATTTATCGTTTGCACGGTTGTAGTTTCTCTGTCAGCGCCGGAGTCTGATGAAGAATGGGGGTTTTTACTAAGTCTTGGTGGGAAGATGGTGGTGGGAGATTTCAGCGCAGGAGTGCTGTCCTTGAGAAACTGTTGACAGAGTTTCTTACCTTTGGCTTGTGCTTTTTAAGTAAATCTGCCCGGTGCTGGAATTTCGAAGTTCCCTATACTGATTTTTATTTTTATAATGGGAAGTTGCCACATCTTTGCTGGTTGACAATTCCCGTGGTATTCTAGGTGGTTAACTTTTACCGCCATTTAAGGTGAGGCAGAGGGTACATCTGGAATTTCAGTAATCCGTGATTCTGTAATATTAAGTATGATTATTACATAACCGCATCTGCATGGAATATCCTTTTGGTCTTGTTTTAGGGAGAGATTCTTGCTATAGGTGTGTGCACTCGTTGGAAAGACAAGAGAGAGACCAGAAGCAAGACATCACCCCCAAGGGGGATGGCCATGCAGCAGTGCCTTCTCTTGTCTTCTCCTCTCGGGATTTTGGGGACGCGTGGAATGATTCATGCCTGGTTTGAATTTTAAGCCACTGGGTCCTGGACTTGAACCGCGGTCAACTGCGTGTGAGTCCAGCGACATAACTATTCCGCTATCTCCTGGTCTCCCCTTTTGGTCCTTAACAGTGGCTCCCACAGGTTCCCAGCCAGCCCCTCCCTTCAGCAACCCTGAGTGTGCTGCCCCATTTAGCCAGGGCTTATCCAGCTGTCAACGCCACCGCGACCAGATGTGCCAGGTGTACCTGAGGGATGATGGGGAAGGTTTTATAGAGAAAGTGACATTCGAACTGAGCTAATTCTGGCATTTCTCAAGTGAGAGGGTAGGAATGCATTCTAAACAAAAGATCACGTTTTGGAAGAATACGGGGGTGGGGGGGACACGACTGGAGATGCCCACGGTTGTCCGTGATCTCAGCCATGTGAAAGGGAAGGATGGAAGATCAGACTAAGCCAGGCTGATAGGACTGGCTGGGCGCCTTCCCTGGGAACCAGGGCGGTTGGACTTTACCCTGAGGCAAGTGTTTGGGCAGTGAGGGTTTTTAAGAAGGTGTGGGACTTAATCAGATTTCTGATTAGGAAAACTGGGAGGATAAATTCAAGAAAGGGGCCTGGAGGCCCAGGGAGCAGTTAAGAAGCTTTAGTAAGAGCACACTGAGTCACCTCGTTTCCTAGCGGAATGTTCTTCCAAAATCAGCTGACTGAATTTTTGCAATACAGGATGTTTAAAACATGCACTCAAACATTTTCCGGGAATGAAAGAGAAGTTTGAGGAGTCAGTGTGTACCACCCACACGTCATTACTTTATTGATTTAGTGCGACTTGCAGGATTTTTATGGTCATTGGTAACATTGTGTCAACGAAGAAATACAATATAATTTCCAACAGCTGATTTACAGTAAGGTTGTTTTTTTTTTTTTTTTTTTTTTGAAACTGAGTCTGACAAAAGTAACTTTGTGAAAAATAACCAGGAGAGTCTGGTATAAAACCTCTATTGTTTTTCACTTCCGAGGTAGTAATTATGATGCATAGACTTAGACTTGAAAAAGTATTTTTTTAAAGACTGGCATTCTAAAACAATGAGTTTGAAAGCTTGCTCATAGTGAATCACTGTGGAATGAAGTATATAATGGGAACTCACACACATACCAGTTCCCATTTTTTAGATGCTGGAAAAGGATTTGAGTGTGTTTGTAATATATGAGAAAGTAATCTTTTAGAAGATGGTTTGACTTCCAAACTTTTAAGTAAAAAGGAAAGCATTTATACTTAAAGCGTGTACAAAACTAGTTGCAAGATAGCAAGACAGTTACAAAAAGCACTTTATACCTCACCAAATTTGACTTTATATTTATTTATTTTGGAGAGATTTTTGCTATAGGGCACATTCAAACACCTGAGAGACAGAGAGATAGAAAGTGAGAAATCACCCCCCAAAGTGACCATGCCACAATCACTTCTCCTCCATTCTTCTCTTGGGATTTTGGGCGTGCATGCACACGCACCTGGCGTTGAGTTTCAAGCCTCTGGGTCTGGGACTCGAACCGTGGTCAGCCATGTGGGAGTTCAGCGATATAACCATCACACCATCTGCTGGTCCCTATATTTTTTGTTAAAAATCTGGTTTATTATGTGCCAGCCTGATGCCTAGTGGTTAAGGGAGCTGGCTTCTGTAAGGCTGACCGCAGTTCTACACTCGCCCTGATAGCTTGAGAACTATACTGGGTGTGGGTGTGTGCTTACACGTACACGTTTAAAATCCTGATAGGGTGGAGAAGTTGGGAAAAGGGATTGCAGTGTGACCGTGCCTAACCGGGGGTGCTTTCTCCCTCTCTCTCTGGCAAGTGTATGTATCCTCTGGCAATTAAAAAACAAACAAACAGACAAACAACCCCCAGAACATTATAGAATCCTCTAAGAGATGTAGGCTCTAAGAAACCGAAAGCTTTTTCTTAGAATATCCATAAGCCCCAGTGTATGGATGGCCTATATAGCCTTGTGGCTTTTCCCCCTCTTTGATACTTAGACTATTCTGGAGCCCTGGAGTAATGCACTTGTTTGAGACAGTGGTCCATTGGGTTGCTTCCTGGGTAATCTGGTCTACTTGGTGTCTCTAGAACAAATTCCCCAGAACCTTCGAATGAGTCCAGCCTGGGCCCAATGAAAGCTAAATCGTACAGTATTTGTCTATTGAGAGATCATATGTGGGACACTGCTTGAATCACATCTTTTAAGAGTGAGGGAACCTGAGAAATTGATTTGGACAATTTAAAAGTATTCGATTGTTTTCGTATTTATGTTTTTTTAATACTGCTGGAGGGTGTGTGCACTTGCCAGAGAGAGACAGAGCGAGAGAGAGAACACACTCTGGGGCATGATCTTGCCAGGATTCCGGTTTTGGACATGCATGTACACGTATCTGGCATGTTTTTCAAGCAGCCAGGGCCGGAATTCAAACCATGGTAGGCTACGTGGGATGTGGCTCCTTTAACCAGTCAGCGTCAGGGCTGTCCCGATGTTTATACTATCTTAACACAAAAACTAGGTACAATTTATAATACATCAAGAAAATGATATAATCAAATTTGCTACTATTTTTTTTTTGAGAGTTTTTTCCCTGCAGGGTGTATGCACTTGCTGGAGAGACAGACAGAAAGTGAGAAATCATGCCCCAAGGAGGATGGCTATGCCACAATCCTTTCTCCTCCATTCTCTCGAGATTTTGGACACACAGGCACACATGCCTGGCGTAAGTTTTAAGCCACCAAGTCCAGGACCTGAAGCGCGGTCGATTGTGGGAGTCCAGCAACATAGCCATAATGCCATCTGCTGGTCCCCAGTAAACTGGTTATATTATGGACAGAACCCTTTCCCATCATAAGAAATGCCCCCTTCCCTTCGAGGTACAATTTATAATACATCAAGAAAATGTATAATCAAATTTGCTACTATTTTTTTTTTTGAGAGTTTTTTCCCTGCAGGGTGTATGCACTTGCTGGAGAGACAGACAGAAAGTGAGAAATCATGCCCCAAGGAGGATGGCTATGCCACAATCCTTTCTCCTCCATTCTCTCGAGATTTTGGACACACAGGCACACATGCCTGGCGTAAGTTTTAAGCCACCAAGTCCAGGACCTGAAGCGCGGTCGACTGTGGGAGTCCAGCAACATAGCCATAATGCCATCTGCTGGTCCCCAGTAAACTGGTTATATTATGGACAGAACCCTTTCCCATCATAAGAAATGCCCCCTTCCCTTCGATACACTTTTCTTTTCATCAGATTTTTCCTGGCTTAACTCCTATTAGGCTGAGTTTCCCTTGTCCTTTTGATAACTCCGAGAAGACTCATGAAAGTGAACCTCTGGAGAGCCTGCTTGGTCTCCTTGACACCCTGCCCTGGGCCGGAAGCGCCTCTCCTGGCTCCTTAGGGTAGTCTGTGGCATAGCAATATGATAAAATGTGACATTGCTGTTTAAGTGACAAATGTGTGGGCCACGTGCCCTTGTGCAAAGGGGCTGTGAAAGGTGTTGATTGGGAAAGGAGGGCTCACTTTAGGATGCTAGTGGTAATCACAACTGTGAAAGCAATGCGTGTGTCCCCGTAAAGACCGGGGGTGGATGACAACACACGGATTGTATTGACTCTCTGTCCGACCAGAGCAAGAAATATGTG